CATTTAGGTCGTGGGTCATCAAACCCAGGTCCTTAGTTAGGCTTGGCAGCAAGTGCCTTTACCCATGGAGTTATCCTGATGCTGCCTTTTTCTTTTGCACAGGAGGAAAACAAAAAGCTATGGATCTTTATTACATGCCAGGCACAAAGCTCTGTCAGCGCTCTCACCCAGCACTGGCCTGTGAGTTCTACGACAGTTCTGCAGGTTGAGTCATCCTGACACTCACGAGAAAAGCAAGGCTTCAACCTTCAGCAGATTCTCGCATTAAACCAGAATGCAAGTCAGCCACAGTGGCACATACTGTCGTGGAATATTTTTTTTGTACACTCTGAGGATGTGTCACTCAGATTGGTTTAATAAAAAGCTAAATGGCCAATAGCTAGGCAGGATTTTCGGTGCAGAAAGGACACTGGGAAGAAGGGGAGAAGTCAGCCAGATAAGGAATGAATCAGACACAGAAAATGTAGACTCATAAAAATATGGGCTAATTTAAGTTATAAGAGCTAGCTGGAAGCAAGTGGTGGTGGCAAACACCTTTAATTCCAGCACATGGGAAGCTGAGGCCAGCAGATCTCAGTGAGTAGAAGGACAGCCTGGTCTATGAAGCAAGTTCCAGGACAGCCAGAACTGTTACACAGAGAAACCCTGTCGTAAAAAAATAAAAATAAAAAAGGCATAGACTGTCATAAAAAATAATAGTTTAAAAATAATAAAGTTTTTAAAGAGAGAAGTAACTAAAAAAAAAACAAGAAGAGAGAGTAAGCCATGTAGAGAAGGGAAATACACAGGGGATCTGGATCCTATATGGAGTTGTACTGACTTTAAACCTTTGTTTGTTTGTTTGTTTGTTTGAGACAGGGTTTCTCTGTGGCTTTGGAGATCCGCCTGCCTCTGTCTCCCGAGTGCTGGGATTAAAGGCATGTGCCACCATCACCTAGCCCTGACTTTAAATCTTTTGACTGCTAAAGATAAAACAACAACAAAAGAAAAAAAAAAACAGGAAAAAAATCTTTTGACTGCGGATGAGCAAACAATAGCTGTTATAAAAACTACTAAATTAAGCCGACCTATATATTTTTTAAATGTCTTAACTTGGAAGTCAAAAAATGTTACATTGGGCAAGAGGTTATGCTTTTGTTTCCATAGAAAATGAAAGACTGTGGATTCATTCAAGGTTGACAGAGATCATATTTGATGGGGGGAGACCCCCTGCAAATCCTGGCTACAGACATAAGGAAATAAACCTGAAAAAAACTACAATACAGGTAACACATATTTTACCCATTCAAACATAAAGCAAAAAATCATTTTAACTGACTTATGCATACTGCACATTCCATACTTGTGTTAATGCAGATACATATGCTAACTTTGAAAGCTTGTGTGTTTTCAGAAGAGGACCAGACACCAATGAAAATGGGTAGCCCAGGTGATCCAGCCTCTCAGAGTGCCTCTGTTATTGTTTCCTCAAAGTTGTGCATCTAGAACAGCTTCAAGGCTGCTGACTGAGATGGTCCAGCATCACAGACTACTCTAGCCAGAACCTTAGATAATCCTTACATTATCCCATTACACCGAGACTGGACAACAGCTAGCTCCACCCAGGACTTGACCATTACCTTAATTTTTTCAGGGTCCCTTAAAGATGCCAGTGCCCCCAGACAACAGGAAGCAGTCTAGAGAACACAATGCTCACATTCCCAAGAGATGGGGTGGGTGTGGTTTTTGGTCATTTGATGGATTACGGATATTTGTCATTGTTTAGAGGAGTTGGTTACAAATTGTTTTTGGTCATGGTCAGGGAAAAAGTACTAAACAAAGGAGATTAGATTCAGGAATTTCTTTGTGAAGAGAAAGAAGAGGGATATAATATAGAAATGTGGATTGTTGAGTCTACTTTTGAACAACCACTAGTTGAAAACATATTAGTTAGAAACAAGCCTAAACTATCAGCTGATCGATCGTTTCTAACGAATAGTAAGTCTCCATGTCGTGATTTGGGAGCTGGCTGGTAGGACAGAGAAAGACTAGCTACAGCAAGCCTTGAATCCCAACACAGGGTGGTCAGGCAGCAAGATCACAAGTCCGCTTGGTCTATATTGTGATGCTGTCTCAAGGCAAGTAAAAACTAAAGCTAAAACATGATGCTGGAGTGTGGGAATAAGTGACTTGGCATAAAGTGGACCTAGCAAATCCTTTAATTGTGTACAATTTAACACAGCACAATTTTATATTGTTATTATGCTCTCATGCCCTTACTGAGAGTCTCATGAGGACCCATATTTTGATCCCAGATTTCTCTTATGCTTCCTGTAGTACCCAGCAGAGTGCTGGGCACAATGTTTCTTTTTCCTATCAAAACCGTTCTAAGCGGGGCTGGAGAGATAGCTCAGCAGTTCAGAGCACTGTCAGGTCTTCTGGAGAACCCATGTTTAGTTTGCAGCACCCACAGGGCAGCTGACAATAGTCTGTAACTCCAGATCCCAAATGATCTGATGCCCTCTTCTTATTTCCACAGGTACCGGATGCACATGGTGTGTATACATACATACATGCACTCATACACATTTTTAAAAAATGAATAAAATTTTAAAGAGACAGCAAGAGAACTGAAAACAGGAGGATCAATGCCTTTAAAGGAGGCAGAAAATATTTGGACATTCAATTTTAACAAAAATTTAATGACTACTTAATATATACCAGACACTAATGTATTCCAAGGGTACACAGGTGATTATTTTAGAGTCCCTGTACTCATGTAACTTATAAGCTAGGTTTCACAAAGAAAGTAGCTCTTGATAGAGTAGATACACAAATAGAAATTACTTCTGTAAAAACAAAGAGAAAGATTTTACAGGAAAAGGGACCACATCAAAAGAGAGCCCTATCAGCTTAGAGGAGACAACCATAAGAGAAAAAAGTGAAAAAGTAAGAAGGGGAGGGTAGCTGGAATGTCCTCACATAAATGGAGAGCCACAACGTAAAGTCATGCTGGAGCCAAATAGGAAAGGTCTCATGTGTCACGCCAAAACTTTAGAGTTCTAGATGGCTGGCTGTTTAAAAAAGTAAACTATATGTCAAGTCCCGTACCAGGCAGTAGAGACACAAAACCATCAGGACACAGGCTCAAGAAGCTCGGAGTGTAGCAGGATGCAGACATGCAAAGCAGCAGCGTGGGGAAAGCTTGAGTAAGTGCAGTAAGAGGAACTTACTTGAGCTACAAGAATGGCACAAAGACCATCCTCCTCCGCTCAGAGTGGTTTTGTACCTGGCAGACGGACAGCAAGATCACATGGCAGTTAGCTCTCTCCTGATACCATGTGGCTCCTAGATTGAACTCAAATCTTCAGGCTTAGCAGTAAGCGCCTTTTACCTGCTGAGCCATCTCGCCTGCCTGGTTCCATCATTACACTATACTGATTCCAAGACAATGGCATAAGAGCATTGCTGGCAAAGGGATTGTAGATGCGAAAGGACAGAGAGGTACGGAGGCTGTGATCTGGATACAGTTTGGTGGTAGAGCCGGTACTCAGCAGTCAAGAGGCCTGGAGTTTGACCCCCAGCACTGTCCCCAACCCCCAAACCATCTTGGCAGCCCCTCTTCAATGCTTTCAATACAGGCCTGCTAAGCCTATGGGGGCACCCAGGAAAAGAATACAACTAGTATCTAAACCAAGTTCTCAGAACGCTGCCTTACCACCACTGTTCCTAGTCCCAGATCCTCTCTCACCTTTAGAAATGTAGACTGGAGGTGCAGGTGTGTCAGTTACACAGACAGCCATGGGATAGATATGGTCATACAAATAAACATACAAACCAAGGCAGAACTCTAGGGAGCACAAGTATTGGGAATCTCATGTATAGAGAAACCAACCAGGAAATAGAAATGCAGAAGAGGTACAAGGTGACCAAAGGGATTCACTGCAACCACAATCACAGTTAACTCAGCATTTATATGATTATTGCTTTTTAACTATTTCTTGGCGAGGTTATGGAGTCTGGAGGGCTTCACACACATGGCAAGCAAGCACTCTAACACTGAGGTACACCCCTAATACATTTCATTTTTCCCTCAAGACAGAGTCTTGCTGTGCAACGCGGTATGTTCTTGAACACCCCATCTTTCGGCACTAGCCTTCTAAGTGAAAGATCTACAAATGTGCACTAGCACACTTAGCTTCACTGCTTATTTGTAAATACTCGTTGCTTCTTCCTAACTAGTTGGAATCAAACTTAGCTCCAGGGAGCAAACAGAACATTTAAGCCCCTATGGTCCTGGTGGAGTGGCGGAGCCATATGCCAATAAGATGCCAAAGCACTATAACTTACTCTTCACTAGGTTTGGCTCTAGAACATATGGAATCCTACTTGAAACTTTAATACTCCTGGGGAAAACCTTGGGCTGGAGGGATGATGGCTCAGGGGTGGCTGAGAGCATACTCTGCTCTTGCACAGGACCCTAGTTCAGTTTCCAGCAATCACTCACAACCACTGCTACCCTAGCTCCAAAGAGACCCAAAGCTTCTAGCCAACACACCCACCATAGACACAGACACACATTACAAGAATACATTTTACCCAGGCATGGCGGTGCAGTGCAGGGGAGGCAGAGGCAGGCGGATCTCTGAGTTTGAGGCCAGCCTGGTCTACAGAGAGAGTTCCAGGACAGCCAGGCCTATACTGAGAAACCCTGTCTTGAAAGGCAAAACAAACAAACAAACAAACAAACAAACACAAAAACCCTTTTAACCAAGGGGGGGTGGTGATCCTTTCGGCTAGCAACCATACCCTAACGCCAGAGTAACTGTATTACTACAGGGTGGCAGAGGTACAGGAATTGATCAAAGTTTGTACAGGGTATGTGAGAAAGAGGGAAAAAAAAATGGTCCCTGAAATGTGCTCGGTAAGAAATCCCCATGATCCCCCAAACGGAACCCTTTGGCAGTGTCTCTTTATCCCCGTCCTCCGCACGTTTTCTGTGGGCCCAGAACCCTTCTCACCTTCAAAGATTCGATCGTGGCTTGCTTGTAAACCTTTCCTCCGAGCTGTTTCTTCTGCGGGCTATTCTGGGTCCTAGGCGTTCGGATGACAAACTTATCCATTTTGGGGGCTCCAGCTACCTTCAGATGACTGAGGTGTGTTCTGATCAAGAGACAGGGCGAAACTTTATTAAGTCGGAGATGTGCATTCCCAGACGTGATACGACTGGATTTTCTAGAAACACTCCCGAATTATGGGTACTCTTAGGTGGTACTTACAGGAAGCTTTCCTCTTGAGAGAGGAACTCTCTTCTCAAAAAGTGAAACAACACGCTAAGTTCACTTCCTGGCTTAGTTTCTTACTTCCAGAAGGAAGGGAGGCAACAGGATTCTAATGCCTGGGGTAGTGTGGTGACTTGAGTTGTGCCAGAGTTAGGGTTCTACTGAGCTGAGTGAAGCCCTCTATACAACCACTCCACCGCAGCCTCATACCAAGAGTTACTCTAAGACCAACAACAACCATCTCCAGACCTTGGCACAACGCAGCAGCAGAACCAGAAACCACTGCTCAGTGATCAGAGGAGCCCAACCGGATCCAGGAACAAGAACCCCATCCTTCCCTTACCCCCAGCTCTCGGGAGGCCTGGAAGGGGGTTATCAAGTTACAGCTCAACGTGAGATCCACCGGGAAAATCGGCCCGCCTACTGCTTGGTCTCTTGACCTCCGAGAGTCCCCAGTCTAACCACGCTTCTCAATTATTAGTACAGTTCTTCCCGGGCCCAGGTCCTCGGCGGTGACTCGCGAGAACTACACTTCCCAGGACGCCCTGCGAGGGCTCGCGGCGGTCGTGGCTGCAGAAGGCGACACCCGGCGGGCCGGGAGGCAGCAGCCTGGGCGGGCCGGGGCGGTCCTGGGCGGAGCCGAGGAGCTCGCGGAGTCGGAAGCGCTGGCCGGAGGGGCGGGGAAAGGGGCTGGCCCGGAAGAAGGAGAAACCCTGAAAAGAAAACAGCAACAAGCCGAGCGGCTGTGACAGAGGGGAACAAGATGGCGGCGCCGAAGGGGAAGCTTTGGGTCCAGGCCCAGCTGGGGCTCCCGCCGCTGCTGCTGCTGACCATGGCGCTGGCCGGAGGTTCGGGGACTGCAGCGGCCGAAGCGTTTGACTCGGTCCTGGGGGACACGGCGTCCTGTCACCGGGCCTGTCAGCTGACCTACCCCCTGCACACCTACCCCAAGGTAGGTTGGCCCATCGATCCCGGGTTTCTCTCACCCCTCGATGCCCATCTCCAGGCTTCCCACACCAGTGTCAGCTCGGGGACCCTAGTGGTGAATCTGCGCTCCAGCTGCCCCCTACCCCCACCCCACCCCCTCGGTGTAGCTGCAGTTTTCCTCCCGGGTCCTGCCTGCACCCAGCTCCTGCTGTAATTGCCGGAAGTTTGTGCTGCAGGACGCGGTGATAGGCCGGGGGCCTCAGAGAAGAGAAAACGGCGAGCCCTGGGAGCCTGCGCGGCCACAGGGGAGTGTGTCGCTTGATGGGGTGGCTTGAAGATGAATGCGGGGTGCTGACCTCCTAGCAGCGCGGGGGTGGGGGTAGGGGATGCGCGAGTGCACGCGTGCACGCTATGTTGCTGTCCCGAGTTTGCTGCGAGCCTTTCTGGGTCGGGAGCGCTTTGTGTTCCGGGAGCGGGACAAGCTGACAATCCTCTGCGCTCTGAAGTGTGAAGTCAGCCTCGGGAGTTGTGAGACGCACTGGAAGGGAGGACTTCCTGTCTGTGTTGAGCGACTGTGTGAGAGACTCTGCCGCAGGGGACTGGATGTGTTCGTTTGGCAGCGGTTAGTTCTATTTCTGCCTTCAGAAGAAATATAAAGTAAAATAAACCTCGTCACTCAGTGCAGAAAATGAGGAATCCATGGAATGGATACAAAACAAAACAAAACGCGACTGTCCTGTGGAAGATGTATACTCTGTAGCTAGAAGGGGAACCGAGTCCTACCCCTGGCTCCTCCCCGTAGCCGCTGCCTAGCCTTTAATTCTACCTCCTTAAGTTGTTTTTCAGCTTCTTATGAACTGTGCTTATTCAACATTCTAAATTGCTTGGTGACTCTCCCACCCTTTCCCATGTATAATTAGGGCATACCCCTCCCCACCTTGCCTTGTAAGCACTTTCGCTGATGCTGGTATTTTTTTTATCCTTGTTTTCTTTCGTCTTCTGTGTGCTATTTGCTTAACCATTGTGGCTATCCCTCTTTGCCTCCTTTAGCTACAGAGTGGCCAGGATGACAGTTTCAGGGACTTAATGTTCCATAATGACAAGTGCTTTTGGGTTTCTGATATGAAAAATTGTAAATTCCGTGCCTTCCAGCATTTTATTTACCTTACATACCTGAGGGTCATCAGCTACAAACAAAATAGACTTCACAGAATTCTAGGAGATGGGATTAGCCTTAAATTTACTGTCCGAAATTAATAAATACTTGCCGGGCATTGGTGGTCCAAGCCTTTAATCCCAGCACTCAGGAGGCAGAGGCAGGTGGATCTCTGAGTTCGAGGCCAGCCTGGTCTACCAAGTAAGTTCCAGGACAGGCTCCAAAACAATATAGAGAAACCCTGTTTCGAAAAAACAAAACAAAACAAAAAAGAAATTAATAAATACTTAAGAGAAGCTAAGAGCTGGGCATGGTAATGGACACCCATAATTACAGCTTGCAGGGGGCTGAGGTCAGAGGGTCATGAGTTCGAGGCCTGCCATGGGCCAACCTTAGGGAGTGAGAAGGACCTTGACTTTCAGACTTCAGTCAGTAAACCTCACATCTACAAGAAAGTTCATCAGTGCTGACTGCTATGCTAGTGTTTGGTTCCCTCTTTTAAGATTTTCCTAGCAAATTTGAAGTGTAAGCCAGAATGCTGGGAACATAAATAATTTGAAAAGACATGTATACCAGGAATCTCTGGATATTTCTTGGATGTGTTTGTTTTTATCGTTGTTTGAGACAGGATTTCCCTGTGTGGTCCAGGCTGGTCGTTTAGTCTCAGTCTTCCTGCCTCGGGTTCCCCAGTGCTACTGGGATTACAGACATATATCACCCCATCAGATGCCTTAGGTATTGTTATGACATTCACTAGTCTCTAATAGTTGATGTGATATCAATAAGTCATTTTCACCTATTTATTAATGCTGGGGTTTTTGTTTGTTTTTGTTAAAGACAGGGTTTCTCTGTGTAACAGCCCTGGCTGTCCTGGAACTCACTTTGTAGACCAGGCTGGTCTCAAACTCAGAGGTCTGCCTGCCTCTGCCTCCCTAGTGCTGGGACTAAAGGCCTGAACCACCACCTCCCAGCTCAAAACTGACTCTTACTGGGCAGTGGTGGCACACACCTTAATCCCAGCATTTGGGAGGCAGAAACAAGTGGATCTCTGAGTTCCAGGCCAGCCTGGTCTATAGAGTGAGTTCCAGGACAGTCACAGCTACCTATAAAACCCTGTCTAGAAGATAAGACAAGACAAAACAAACAAAAAGGGAAATTAAAAGCTAAGCCTCTTGCTCAACTAAGAAATAGTGGAGTAGAAATTGAGTCTTCAAGCTGGCTACTGTATGATGCTGCCATCTCATAATGAAGTTGCGTTACAAATAGTTCTGAGTTATTGTGCATTGCAGTACAGGGAAAAAGCAGGGTGTGCTATAAAAAGGAAATGAATTCAAAATTTCACATCGCCTCTCTTGATCTGATACTGTAACTGGAAGATAGAAATTTCATTTTAATGACTTTATAATTATTTATTGTAAGAACATAGAGTCAGGGTTTCTCTGTGGTTTTGGAGGCTGTCTTGGAACTAGCTTTCGTAGACCAGGCTGGTCTCCAACTCCACCTACCTCTGCCTCCCCAATACTGGAACTAAAGGTGTACGTTACCACAGCCTGGCCATAACTAGATATTTTAAAATTAATACATTTTGCCCTTTGTTCTCAAAGATTCAGTTGTGTGAAATCTGGGTTCAAATGTAAAGAACATAAGACATATTAATAACAAACCTAGAGTCAGTGTGGTATTTTACAGGGTATGGTCTTCAGAATCAAGCAAGACTGTGTGTATAGTCCATTCCCGGATTCCTGTTAACTGTATTTAACTTAATCATTTAATTTCTTAGAATTTCATTTTGTAAACTGTAGAAAAACCACGTATTTGCAGAGCCAATTGAAGACTGAAGCTAATCTGATGCTTTTAAAACAGTGCCTAACAACCATAGGTAGCCATTTGCTTTACTGTGCAGTCAGGTTTGCACACATTTGCATTTGTAGTATTGAGTAAGAGAATACTTAAAACCAGGCATATAGCTCATGCCAATAAGCCAGCATGAGGAGGTTGAGGCAGGAGGATTGCTGTGAGTTTTAGGCCAGCCTGGGCTCCAGAGCATGACCAGTCACAAAGTAAGCCAAAAGCAAGGGAGAATAGATAGCCTGGCTTAGCTAAGTTAACTGAGGGTAAGAAAATATATGTGGAAGCTATACAGGTAGCATTGTCGTTAATGACCTTTATTACTGAGCTAATATTCATTATGATGGGAAGCACTCTTTCCTGTGCTCTGTATTAGATTATACTTTCTATAAGCTTGCCAGTCACTTGGGATACATAAAGCATGAAATATTTACCATATTTGGATTTATATTCTGTAGAATACAAAATACTTGAAATAAAGATGTGATTCTTGCTTTTAAGAAAGAATATTTTTATCTTATGTGTTTGGGTGTTTAGCCTGCATGTCTGTCTGTCCAACATGTGAATGCAAGGCTGATAAAACACCAGCAGAGGGCATGGATCCCTTGGAATTAGTTACAGACCCTTGTGAGCTGCCATGTGAGTGCTAGGGGTTGAGCCTGGATCCTCTGCCATGTGAGTGCTAGGGGCTGAGCCTGGATCCTCTGGAAGAGCAACCAGTGCTCCTCACCACTGAGCCATCTCTCCAGCCTACTCTTTATGGGTGATGTATAATACATTGTGTTAACACAGCGCCTGGCATGTTGTGGGTGTTTATTGACTTTATTATTAATGTTATATCTATCAGTAGCAAGGTAGTGTGAATGTTTAACCCCTCCTAGTGTGCAAGATTAGTATGAAAGTCTCTTCGTTCACAACCTAGAGAACAGTGAGAATTCGAGAGGTTAGTAGCTTGCCCCAGGTTGTGCAGAATAAGTGGTAAGGCTGATCTCAGGGCTGAATCCCAATCCACTAGACATCAGCATCAGTTTTCTGATGTTGTTTCTAGATGACTTTGGAGTTGGTTTAACAAAAGAAAGACCATTTGAGCTGAGCATATTGTCACATGTGAGCAATCTCAATACTCAGGAGCTGAGTGAGACAGGAGATTAAGAGTTCCAGGCCAGTTGGGACACAGAGTAAATGTATCTGAGAATAAAATGTCATCTGGGATAGAGCTCTTACTTCCTGCTTCTTGTGTGCAATATAAGGAAATATGTGGTGCTTCAAAAACACAATTCTTTGGCTGTTTACTAGGCCTGTAAATGCAGTTAGAACCAAGGTCACAAAATGTGCCACTCCAAAGTTGTATAATACAACTTATTTCATGTGAGGCTTGCAGCCATCTTTCCATCTGGTTGCTGCTGCTGCATGAGCTTTATTAATTCTTCTGGGGAAAGAGTGCGCACTGCCGTAGTCCACGGTTGCTAGCTGGAATATGCATGTTTTCTCAGTAGGTGCCTGCCAGTTTTTACACAGTGGATCACACAGAAAGTTGCAAGAGCTCCCTCATATACACTAGTTTGTTTAAAGTACTGTATTCATCAAAGAAAAGAAATGTTTGTTGATCTCATTATACAGTTACTATTTTCTAAGCATAAAGAGCCATCCAAAGGGAGAAA